AAACAGCTGTTAAATAAACAAGAAACTGGGGTCCATCACTTGAGGAATGATTAAGAAAACTATAACATATGGATTAATGGAATATTCTTATACAGTAAGACAAGTATAAGGAATTTAGAGAAACACTTGTGAACTGATGCAAAGTGAAGTGGGATGAACCAGGATAATCATCACAAGAATGTATATGAAAACTGGTCTAAAAGGAAGTCTAACTATGAATCAGCCAGTCAATAATCATTTATTAAGCACCTGCTGTGTTCCTGGCACTGTGCTAAGAGCTGGGGATACAAAAAGAGACAAAAGGCAGTCCCTGCCCTCAGGGAGCTCACAATCTAATGGAGGAGACAAGAAGCAAACAAATATGTACCAAAAGCTATCTATAGGATAAATAGTTAATTACTATGTTATATTATGTGTTATATTATGTATTATATATATATATATATTATATTATATGTTATAATTATAGGATAATCTGTTAATTCAACAGAGGGAAGGCACTAGAGTTAAGAGGGGCTGGGAAAGGCTTCTGGTAAACGATGGGATTTTTAAAGGAAGCCAAGGAAATCAGTAGGCAGAGTTGAGGAGAGCAAGCATTCCAGACATGTGGGACAGCTAGAGAAAATGCCCAGAGCTGAGAAAAAGATGGTCTTGTTTGTGGGACAGCCAGAAGGGCTGTGTCACTAGATTGAAGAGTACATTTTGGGGAGGAAGGTAAATGAAGACTAGGAGCAGGCTAGGTTATGAAGGGCTTTGAACAGAGCATCTCGTATTTGCTCCTGGAAGCAATAGGGAGCCTGTGCAGTTTATTGAGGTGGGGTGTGTGTGTGTGTGTGTGTGTGTGTGTGTGTGTGTGTGTGTGAGAGAGAGAGAGAGAGAGAGAGAGAGAGAGAGAGAGAGAGAGAGAGAGAGAGAGAGAGAGAGAGACAGGTCAGACCTTCATTTTAGGAATATCATTTTGGTTGGCTGAATGGAGGATGGCAGTCAGACCTACCCTCAGGCTATTGCAATAGCCCAGGAGATCAGGATCTACATGGGGATGGGGGTTGTGCCAGAGGAGAGAAAGGGCCACATTTGAAAGATCCTGAAGAGCTAAAGTGGACAGGCCTTAGCAATAGCTTGCATATGGGGGTGAGAGATAGTGAGGAGTCCAAGATGACTCCTGGTTTGAGAGCCCGAGAGCCTGGGAGGATGGTGTTACCCTCAACAGTAACATGGAAGGTAGGGGGGTAGAGTTTAGGGGGAAAGATAATAAGTTCTGCTTTGGACATGTTGAGTTTAAGACATCTACTGGACATCCAGTTGGAGACATCTTAAAGATAGTGGGGATGTAAGTTTGGAAGTCAGCAGAGAGGCTAGGGCATGAGTAGCCATAATGATTAGCCTTGGTCCTGGACACCAGATGAAGCATATTTCTCTCCTTTCAGTAGAGAAGTGGAGGGACTATGTGTGTGGGATATTGAATAACTGATCAGATCTAGTCATTGTGTGGGTTGGCTTTGCTTAACTGTCTTTCTTTGTAGTCATGGACAGTGGGTGTGGAAGGAATAGGTTAGGTCCAGAAATGATCATATAAAATAAAAGATACCTATTAATTAGTAACTTCTACATTTGCTAATAGTACTTTTAAATATCTGCCTAGCATAGTGCTTGGCTCTTAGTAGATACTTAATAAAGCCATGCTGACATTAATATATTTACAAATATATTATATATTAATATATTGGTATAAATATCAATACATTGGATTATCATACATTATGTATAAATACACTTGTAAATACACACATAATCGCATCCATTCTCATAACAAACTTTTGAGGTAAGTACTAGAGTTATTATGGTAATTTCCATTTTATAAATGAAAAAACTGAGGGTCTAAGAAATTCTGTGACCTTTCCATGCTTTATAACACAGCTAGCCTGTGTCATAGGCATAGTGGTGACCCATGGCTTGATGGCCAGCTCTCCATCACTGCCTGATGGTGCCTTTTACTTGGAAGAAGTCCAACCCCTTTGGTACAGATCAATTGTAGAATTGAAAATTGACCCTTATGAGAGAACAGTGGAGAGATCAGATGGAAAGGATGGTAAATGTAGTGAAGATAGATGAAGGAGTAGGGTATATGCTGAGAGCAAGTAGACTATTCTAAATGGAAGAGATAAGAAAGACAGGCATCCTTCAGCCTATGTTATCATCTTCCCTAAGGCAGCTAGGTAGTGTAGTGGAAAGAGTGTTGGGCCTGTAGTCAGGAAGTCCTGAGTACAAATTCAGCCTCAGACATTTACTAGCTGTATGACCCTAGGCAAGTCACTTCACCTTGTTTGCCTCAGTTTCCTCATCTGTCAAATGAGCTGGAGAAAGAAATTGCAAACAACTCCAGCATCTCTGCCAAGAAAACCCCAAAATGCATCATAAAGAGTTGGACATGACAATAACAAAAGGGTCATCCCTGAGTGCCCGTGAAATTGTATTAGGCACTTTGATTCCATTTATCAGAAGAAGAAGAAGCTGTCTTCTGGATTGGATCATCTGAAGGCAATGGTCCTTAGGGATACCAGCCCTGGATTCGGAAAACCAGGCTTCAAAACTTGGCCCTGGCACTGAGTTCCTGTGGGATTTGGGGCAATCGGTCCCTTAACTTCTCTGGTCCTCTGTACACTGAGCTTGGGAGCTCCTTTCCATCTCTGAATCTGCACCCCTAAATCAGTGTAACACGGGGCCGCAAAGGCTCTATGTGGATGTTGCCAGAGAAGTTCCTCTCCCCTTCTTCCTCCCGTCACCCTACCTCTCACTGCCTGGCTCTTCCTGTCCTGCTAAACTCATCTGCCCTGCATTCTATCCTCTCCTGGGTCCATGGGTCAGCTCTCCAAGCTAAAAAATTGATCTGTGCTCAAGGGAGAAGGTGCCTTCCAACAAAGACTGGACACAGTGTCTGACTGAACAGGCCATCAGCGGAGTCCAGCTTTTTATTCTTCAGGATAAACAATATATCTGAAACCAGAGAAATAACAGGGAATGGGACACAGTGAGCTAAAAGTAAACAAATGAATAACAATGCACCTTGAAAAATTAAAAGTAACTCCCGTCAAAGCAACCAACCAACAATAAGAAATTGGATGGCACAAGATATATTGTTTCATACTTACTTAGATTTCAATGTTAAAAAAATTAAAAATAGATTTAAATGTTGGTCACATCTAAGGGGCAAAAACCACTGGAGGGCACAATTATAAGTTATGTGGAGGTACCATTATTTAAAGATGGCCCCAGAAAATGGAAACTTCTTCTATTTGTGCTTTTTCCAGAGTCAGAGAGCTGAATACGACATCGCTTTAAATTCCTTTGTGTTTCTGAAATTAACTGGAATGTGATACTTCTGGAAGACTAGGAGAAGAAGGTCTTAGTCTTAGATTAGGTCCATTCAGCTCAAAAAATCCTGACTCTGAGTACCTCCTGTGAGTGAAGCTCTGGGTCAGTTGCTACGATACATACTGAGACAGAAGGAGATGTAGCCCCCTACCCTCCCCAGGCTTACAGTCTGCCTGCAGTGGCTGATCATATGTGTTGCCATTAAGACTTCAGCCATCTCATCGGAGTGAAACTTTGCTTGGAAGACAACTCTGTGGGCGAGCTGAGATCTGTCTTGCCGATGTCCCTCCCTTTATACACATCTAACTAGAATCAAGGGTAAATGCTGGGTCATCTGCAGTCAACAGCATGAGTCAATAATGTCTCTCCTTTCCGTTGGAGGACTGGCCTCCACCCCTCTCTCACAGGGGAGTCCTCCAGAACAGATCCCCAGTTTCAAGGTGCCTTGGGGGGGTTCCCTAGCTACCAATTGTTGTACGTCCCTGGAGATACACATTTTAGACTTTCTTCCAAGTTGGCCTCAGTGCCTCATGCTTGGCACACAGTAGGTACTGTCTAAGTCCAGGATGAATGTTGAACAGACGGATATCATAAACCATGAATCCAGAGACACAATGGGGGCGATGGAATCCTTCTCTGGTCTCGTCTTTCAACAGGCTAAGAGGAGGGGCTCAAGAGGGCGGGTCTATATTTAGCTACTTGACGTCAGCTGGATGTCAGTCTTTTTAGAGAGGCTCAGTCCTCACTTCACGTTGGTGTGAGGTACCATGCAGACCCAAGCACAAGGATAGAAGCTGCCTGGACCCAGCTCCCCATCCATATCCCTCCGACTCCCAAACCTCCACCCATTGGCCAGCCTTCTTCCTTGCTGCAAAACAAGATTGGACAACTTGGTGAGTAGAACATTTCTCCAAATCATGGTTCTGGTCTTCCAGAGAGACAGTCACCCCCTTGTCACTCAGAAATGGGCATTCTCCTTTCTTTTCATGGCAGGTGGCTGGTACCCAGGTGTAAAGGCCAGCCTCTGGTTCACTGGCAACTCACTGCTCCTTCAGGCATTGTCCTAGAATCTATGCAAGTGCTGTCGGTGCTAGGAGAACTGACAAAGTGACAGGCAGAATACAATGAATCACGGATTGCAAACAAAGGAAGAAACAATGGGAGGGTGGGGAAAGGAGGTGGATTCTTGAATACTTCGCAGTGGCCTGGTGTGTGATGGACCTGTGTTCAGGAGGACCCTTTGCTCCATGAGCCATCATCAGTCGGTGCCTGTCGTCAGACAGGGATGCAGAGCGAGGGCTGCGGATAATGCCTCTGAGACCTCCAGCCCAGCCCCCACCCCCCACGAGCACCTTCCCTCTGAGATGACCTCCTGTCATCTCCCTCCACCATCTGCATGGAGCATGTACATTGTTTGCATGTTGTCGCCTGTTAGAACGAGCGTTTGCTCTGGGCAGCTGGGCTGTTCCTGCCTTTCTCCATGCCCCTAGTGCTTAGCACAGTGCCTGGCACAAAAGCTTATTGATGGACTGATGCTCAGAGATGGTGGCTGGGGAAGGATGCCACAGATTGACCCTCTCACCCGGGCTCAATCTCTCCTTGTTGTGTGCGTTTCTTTCTCTTTCAGCAGGGAAGCCGCCGTGGAATATTAACACCCAGCACCTCGGAAAAGCAGAGGAAGTGAGCGGCAGCAATCATGAAGGAAATTCATGGAAACGGTAGAAAGCCGGTCCTCGGGGGGGGCACCTAACACTGTTCCGATCCTTCCTAACACGCCTGACTCTGTTTCCCTCCAATCGCTGTGTCTGGTCATGCTGTCATAAATAACCTCGGTGCTGGAGTCGGGGGGTGGTAGAGCCCACGGCCAAGTCCCTCTGCCTTTTGTAGTCGTCCTTTTTCATGGGAAAGTTATTTCCAGATGAACAACTGTTCCAAAGGCATGGAGCCACGGGACAGCTGAGGGGCATTCTGCCTGCCTTGCCGTTCAGAATTTAATCTGAAGTTCTCTTAATTGCATTGGGTTGGGTGAGGTCCTAGAAAAGCTTGTCATCCTTGGCTGCCCAAAGAGGCTCATCTCTGGGGTGGGTTGGTTAGTTTTCATCTCTTTCTGTCTTTTGAGGCATTTTTGGAGTTTCTTTGGCTTCCCATTCCTCCCATTTCACCTGCCCTGCATCTCATTGTCTTATCAATTCTTGCCTTCCTAACTGAAGCACTCAGACACTTGGGAACGGAAGGAAGTTTTGTCTCTGTATGCTATCCTCTTGAAAACAGGGAAAGATTCATCATATCAGTATGGCCTGGCAGACAGGGCTTTGACTTTGGAGTTAGCAAGACCTGGATTCAAATCCCACCTTAAATACCTGTAGCACCTTGGGCAAGTCACTTAACTACTCTGGGTCTCAGGTTTGTCATCTGTAAAATGGGGGGTCAGACTAGCTGTCCTTTAAGGTCTATTCTAGCTCTATTATATGTGACTCAAACCTATTAATCCTTTTAGAAAAATCCTGTGGTTTTACAGTTTCACTTTTTTCCTCTTTAAACTCTCCCCCCCTCAAACTGCTTCCTCTATCCTCTTGTCAATGCAAAAGTTAGGTCAATGACTGGTGAAGGGCAGCCTCAGAGCTCATGCAATAACTAGTTTTCCTGGTTGGGGTCGGGCACATGTTTGGATACCAGAGAGAAGGATTGGGCATTTCCAGTATCTTCCTGGTGATTTTCAGGAAACCTAAGTAGCTTCATTCTCCCACATGAGCCTTTACACATCTCTAGGAAAAGACAAGGACATCATTTAATAGATCCATGTCTTCACATTTCGCTCTTCATAAAGCAAGCTGAATAATACAAGCAGATATTTCTTAGATGTGACAATGTGGGGTAGTGGATGGAGGGCTGGACATGGAATCAGAAAGACTTGGGTTTCAATCCTGCTTTCAACACATAGTAGCTGGGTTATCTTGGGCAAATCATTTAACCTTTCCCTGCCTCAGTTTCCTCTTCTGTAAAATGGGCAAGTCACTTAGCCTCTCTGTGTGTCAGAGGTAAAATGTGGATAATGATACCTTCAGTATTTATTTCACTAAGTTGTCTGCAAAGTTCAATTGACATAATATGTGGAAAGTGCTTTGGAATCTTTAGAGCATGATGGAAATTTCAGCTATTATTCTGAGAACATAGGTTATAGTTTTACCTGAAGAGTCTGATTTTGAAGAATTTGTTTTTACTTTGTGGAGTGAGTCTGATGAAATCAGGAGAGGGCTCCCAGGCTCCCAGCTCATCCTTCTAAGGAAGAGCTCCAGTCAGAGCCCAGGATAAAGTGAGCTTGAACTGGAGTCCAAGCCCAGAATTGAATCTCTAGGACCCCACAGTGCAGGTATTGTCCTTGCCCTCTCTTCATGTCCTTCCTAGGACAAGAAAGTCATCTGGTGGTTTGTTCCCCTGATTGAGCATGTCCCACTGAGTCCAATGTCCAGACCGAGTTTGGTCCTAAGTCAGTTCCATGTCTAAGCATCTCACCATTCCAATTCGATTTCCAAGCAGCCAGAGGTACAGGTGTCAAAATCAGAAATCCCCCCAGTCTAAACAAATCTATCAACAACTGTAGGTCCTTCCCAGGTGTTGACATGAAGGGCCAAAGCGCAGGCTAGGGTTGCCGCTGTTCTGGGTCCTGAGACAGATCTAGGAATGGAAGAAAGCTTCCTCCATGGCCAAGATCTAAATGATTTATGAATCATGTTCTCGGGAAGCCAGCCCGTGTCCAACAACCCTAAGAAGAAGGCTGTAGGGCCTGACATAGAGTCAGGCTCCTGAGGTGGACCTGGCTCAGGAGGGCCTGGCGGGATGCTGGCCAGCTGTCCCTCACACAGTCACATGCTGTGCCTTGGCTGGAGTGTTAACTATTCCTGATAACCCGGGGACAATCAGAACACGTCCTGCTCGCCCAGCAGAGAAAATAGCTGCAGTGCTCCAGAAAAAGGCTGATTCCTCCCTTTCCTTTCGGATTTCCTCTTCCAACCTCTCTGCATTGTGCTTGGGAAAGGGCATGGCAGAGGGGCCCAGGGCTAAATGGGGGCTTTGTGAGGACTGCTGAGTTTGGAAGCAGAGGACCTGGGCTTGTGGGGCCTGCCACACATCAAGAGCTTCTCCCTGCCTCAGTTTCTTTATTTGTCAATTGAGGGATTAGACTGGATCAGAGGGGTCAGACACTGAAGGACTAAGTGTAATTGGAAAATATTTAACAAAATAGATAAAAATGCAATAGAACATAGATCATATTTTGATGTGGTTTTCTAAGTCAATATTCTGCTCCCCCTACAAAAAAAGGTCTTTATATATTGTTCTATTTCTACTTGAGTTTTACATCCTTGACTAGGTAACCTGTAGGTTCCCTTCTAGCTTGGGAGCCTATGATGCCTTGTATTGGTTCCCCCCAAAATGGATGCCCTCTGTTATATCCTGGGCCTCCTCCTCCTCCAGAAAAGCCCTGGAGGCACGCTGCCACACCTAGGATTTTTGATGAGCCCTAGCTCAGCTCTGAGGAGGAGGAGTCCCGGGGTCTCTCTCTGTGTCTCTCTTCTGTGTCTCTCTGACTCTGTCTGTCCCCCTTCTCTGTCTCTTTCTTTCCTTCTCTCTCTCTGTGTCTCTCTCTATCTCTGTCTCCCCCATCTCTGTCTCTGTGTCTCTCTGTCTGTTTTTTTCTCTCTCTTTGTCTGTGTCTCTGTGTCTCTGTCTCTCTCCCCCCTCCCTTCTCTATCTTTCTGTCATTCTGTGTGTGTGTGTGTGTGTCTCTCTCTCTTTCTCTGTGTCTTTGTCTGTCTCTCCCTTCTCTCTGTCCCTGTCTCTTTCTCTGTCTCTTTGTCTTCCTGTCATTCTTTCTGTGTCTCTCTTTGTGTGTGTGTCTCTCTCTCTGTATCTCTCTCCTGCCTCCCTTCTCTATCTCTCTGTCATTCTCTGTCTCTCTCATGCATCAGCAGAGGCTAATGAATAAATGGTAGAAAGCAATGTAGAAACCAAGTCTTCCTCTCAGCCAAGAAGGTGTCACCCCCAGTGGTTTCTGGGAAACCCGAACTGAGTTGTGTTTTCCAGAAACATATGCTGGCTAGACAGGGTCGATGAGGAGGCACAGTGCAGCCCTGTTGTGGGGCCAACTGGCTTTCTAAGGATAGAGGGGTAGCATGCTGGAGAGGAAGAGAAAGCCCAGGCAGCAAAGACCTGAGTTTGAATTTCAGCTCTGATTCCTGGCAGCTGTGTGACCTTGAGGAAATGACTTCTCCTCAATGAGACTTGGTTCTCTCATCTATGAAATGGGGATAATTGTGCTGGCAGTAGACACTTACCTCACAGTGATATTGAGAATGGCCTTCATGGTAGAGGGCTGGTCTTAGAGTCAGGACAGATCTGGTTCAAATCCTTCTCAAACACTGACCAGTTATGTGACCTTGGGCAAGTCACTTCACCCTGATTGCCTCCCCCAAACAAAAAAAAAAACCCTATATAGCTGATAACAACAATTTTAGAAGCTTTGCAAAGCACCCTACAAAGGGCATACCCTGTGAAGTTGGTGTTGTGGTTATAATTTAAGGGTGTTTACAGCATTTTTTACAATGATGAGCACACTGTTGTCTGTTAGGAAGGTGCCCTACATGGGTGACAAAGAATATTGCCCACATACATGAGCTCCCACCAAAAGTCGTGACCCCTCTCAGGAAGGTTGGAGTCTGAGGAAGAGAGCCTCTGGTGCCCTGGGGGTTGGACGAGAGGCCCAAAGCCAGCTCTCCTCACAACAGATGCTGTCCCTCTGCAGGGCCCTAGAAGTCTCCTTGGCTGGGCAGACCTGAGCAATAGGCATGAGGAGCAGGTGAGGTCAGGACAGGTGCAGCCATGGAGTCTTCACTGGCAGTAGCCTTTATTAGGGCTAAATTCATTGGAACCAAAAGAAATATTATGGGCATCTAGATAGACCAGTGGATAGAGTGCCAGGCCTAGAGTCAGGAAGACTCCTCTTCCTGAGTTCAAATCTGACCTCAGATGCTCACTTGCTATGTGACTCTGGGCAGTCACTTAACCCTGTTTGCCTCAGTTTCCTCATCTGTAAAATGAGTTGTAGAAAGAAATAGCAGACTCCATTATCTGCCAAGAAAACCCCAAATGAAGTCACAAATAGTCAGACACAACTGAAATAACCCAACAACAGAAAAAGAAATATAGCTAAAGTAGTATGGTCAGTTCTAAATGCTGGCAATTGAGAAGGGAGGTATCATGGTACTCTAGAAATAGGACTGGCTCTGGCATTGCACAAAGCCCTTAACTTGCCTGGGTTTCACCTACGTCATCTATAAAAGGAGAAGGTTGACTTAGCCCTCAGGTTCCAATAGAGACACTTCATGGAGGGACCCAGGGGCCATGGACTAGCTTCAGGAACTGGCGATGTTGAGCCTGGGCAAAGAAGATTTGAGGGTTATAGGGTCATTGTCTTCAAGTACCATAAGGACTCTCAGGTGTTGAGGAATTAAACTTTTTCTACTGGGCAAAGCTAGAAGCAATGTAAGGATTTATACAGAGGCAGTTTTCAGTTCAACAGAAGGAAAAATTCCCAACAGTTTGAACTATTCAAAAATTGTCTGACTCGGAGGTAGTGATTTCCCCATCACTGGAGGATGTTGGAGCAGAGACTGACTGAGCATGATGCTGGGGGCATTTCTGTCCAAACATGGCTTGGATG